TGGAATATTGTGTTGCTAAGACCCAGAGGGGATGGCTGAGGTTATGAGTAGGACTGGAAAGGAATCAGAGCTCAGGGTCTATGGGGACCCCGAACCCTAATGCTGTGAGTAAGGGTGTCCCTGAAGTTGGAGAAAACCAACTTTGGGGAGGCACTGTGGTCTTCTGCCCTGGGTGGGGGGGTCCTTCCTGTCTTTTCTTTTCTCTATTCTGTATGAAATTTGGGTCCCTCTTCCTGTCTGTGGTTGCTCCCTCCCTCCCCACTCACCCATCTACCTGCCCACTTCCCTCTCGGGGTTAACCTTGCTTCCTCTTAGTGGTTTCCTCCAACCTCAACACCCTCTTCCTTCCTCAGTGGTAGAAGCCATTAACTCCTTTTCTCCCATCACTTAAGTCCATCGACCTCAACAAGCCAATTGACAAGCGGATCTATAAGGGCACCCAGCCCACCTGCCACGACTTCAACCAGTTCACTGCTGCCACGGAGACCATATCCCTGCTGGTGGGGTTCTCGGCCGGCCAGGTGCAGTACCTGGACCTCATCAAGAAGGACACCAGCAAGCTATTCAATGAAGAGGTGATTGTGGACCCCCAAGTGGCCCCTTCCCTTCTCTCCCACCCAGCCCCACACATACTGTTTGCCATTGAACTGTGGCTCACTGGGGAGCAGTGTAGGCCGGAGAGGGACAGGATGAGCGAGAAAAGGGGGTGGACTGACAGCTATGTGGGATGGGTGACAGACAGCAGCCAGTGTGATAGCTAATAATGACACCAGCGCCTACTGTGCCCAGGCCCTGTGCTTCGTTAGTCATATGCTGAATACATGACTCCAGGAGTTTTCATCAACCAATGGGTTGGGGATTGAGAGGCCCATTTTACAGATTAGAGAACTGAGGCTAGTCAGTTTGGACTGGTTTTAAGTCAGAGCCGTTGGTCTTTAAATTCTGGGCCCTGTGGGCATTGGATTCAAATCCTTGCTGTACCACATGGACTCACCGTGTGGCTTTGGGAAGGTGACAGTGCCACCCGGCACCTCCGTTTTCCTGCTCTGCAAAATGGGGTTTTCATCCCTACCTCACGGGACTGTTGTAAAATCATGCATGGAGATGGCTTAGTCCTGGGCAGACTTGGCACAAGAGGAAATGCCGGCGAGCAGCCTTATCTGTGGGTACTCGTGCCCTGTGTGTCTGTTCAGAAGCAGTGTTCCATCTGCATAGAATTGCATGAATGGCAGGAGGGAGTGCGTGGAACAGTGAATGGAATAAAAACGCACTAGCTCACCCATTCACAGATAGTTATGGAGCATTTGTTCAGGGCCAGGCTTGTTCTCAGCACTGGGGATGGCTCATCTCGGTGAACAAAACAGAGGGCCCGCCTCTGGAGCTTTCATCTAGCGAGGCAGACAGTTACCCAGCAAGTGGAGCATGCTGTTCGCTAGGAGGTGCTGAGAGCTGCGGAGAGAAGTCAGGCAGGGAAGGGGCGTGGCGGGGGCGTGGTGAGGTGGGGTAGTGGTCAGGGAGGGCCTCGCTGGGAGGGTGACATTGAAATGAAGACGTGAAGGAGGCAAGAAGAAGGAACCAGAGAAGGACATTCTGAGTAGATGGAGGCGGGGACAGAAGCCCCGCAGCAGGACCTGGTCGGAGCAGTTCTGAGGGGGAGGGAAGTAGGGGAGCTCCCGGAAGTCAGTGGAGGGGCCGGGTCCTGTAGGGGCTGGAAGGCTGTGGAAAGGCTGGGGCTTTAGAGCCTCTCTCCCCTGGGATTCAGCTGAGCCGTATAACACAGAAATGCTTTGATCTGATTGTTTTCTCAATTCTCCCAAGAATGAGAAGCAACTTAGATACGGAGAAAAGAAATTAATTCCTTCCATTCGGTGGATGCCTAAGGGCGTCAGGGCTTAGTTCTCTCTGAACCCCTGGTTGAGAAAGGCTGCCCTGGGGTTCAGAGTGGGGGGTGCTGGCGCTGACTCACACTAATGGCAGCTCTCGGCCAACAGTGTAGGGAACGGACATGGGCAGTGGTGGCCTAGTGGCCAGTTAGGCCACTCCAGGGTTGATGGTGGCTGGGACCAGGGTGGTTGGGGTTCAGGGTGAGCAGAGGTCAGCTTCTGCATGTTATTGAAGAATTAGATGTGAGTTGGGAGGAGAAAAGGAGCAAAGATGAGCTGCAGGCAGGATGGGGTTGCCATTTGTGTGTCTAGGAAGCACTTGCCAGGGACCCCCTGTGTGCACAGCTCTGCGCTGGGGCTGGAGCAGTGAGCCGCCCCGCTCCTTAGGGGAGCCGATGGCCTGCTGGTCAGGTTATTGCCTTGAGCCCGACATGGAAAGACGGTGGGGGCATTAGACGGAAGACAGTTCCCTGGAAGGCAGGACTGTCCCCTCGCCACAAACGGGACATTGAGGCTCATGGAGCTCTGGCCGCCGCAAAAGCAGCCCATCTGCGTTCCCATGACCGCCCTTTCCCTCGAGGGGGCTCTTCTCCGGGGGCTGGGCCACGTCTGATGGCCTCCTGGGGAGCCAGGTTGGGAAGGAGGTCTGTCAGGGTCTGATGGCCTTCTCCCAACCCCATCATCTCTCCTGGCAGCGGCTGATTGACAAGACCAAGGTGACATACCTGAAGTGGCTGCCTGAGTCGGAGAGCCTGTTTCTGGCATCGCACGCCAGCGGCCACCTGTACCTGTACAATGTCAGCCACCCGTGTGCGTCGGCACCCCCCCAGTACAGCCTGCTGAAGCAGGGGGAGGGCTTCGCCGTCTACGCTGCCAAGAGCAAGGCGCCCCGCAACCCGCTGGCCAAGTGGGCGGTGGGCGAGGGGCCCCTCAATGAGTTTGCCTTCTCGCCCGACGGCCGGCACCTGGCCTGTGTCAGCCAAGACGGCTGCCTGCGCGTCTTTCACTTTGACTCCATGCTCCTGCGGGGGCTCATGAAGAGCTACTTTGGGGGCTTACTCTGCGTGTGCTGGAGCCCCGACGGGCGCTATGTGGTGACGGGCGGTGAAGATGACCTGGTCACCGTGTGGTCCTTCACCGAGGGCCGCGTGGTGGCCCGCGGCCACGGCCACAAGTCTTGGGTCAATGCCGTGGCCTTCGACCCCTACACCACAAGGGCCGAGGAGGCGGCGGCAGCCAGTGGTGATGCGGAACGGAGTGTCGAGGAGGAGGAGGAGCCCGAGGTGGCCGGCCCGGGCTCGAATGGGGGAGACCCGCTCTCCCCGATGCCCAAGGCCGGCTCCATCACTTACCGCTTCGGCTCGGCCGGCCAGGACACGCAGTTTTGCCTGTGGGACCTCACCGAAGACGTGCTCTACCCACACCCACCCCTGGCCCGCACCCGCACGCTCCCCGGCACGCCTAGCACCACACCGCCTGCTGCCAGCAGCTCTCGGGGTGGCGAGCCCGGCCCCGGGTCCCTGCCCCGCTCACTGTCCCGCTCCAACAGCCTCCCGCACCCGGCGGGCAGTGGCAAGGCGGGTGGCCCGGGCACGGTGACGGAGCCGGGCACTCCGTTTAGCATCGGCCGCTTTGCCACGCTCACGCTGCAGGAACGGAGGGACCGGGGGGCGGAGAAGGAGCACAAGCGCTACCACAGCCTGGGCAACATCAGCCGGGGGGGTGGCGGGGGTGGCAGCAGCGGGGACAAGCCCAGTGGCCCTGTTCCCCACAGCCGTCTGGACCCAGCCAAGGTGCTGGGCACGGCGTTGTGCCCACGCATCCACGAGGTGCCCCTGCTCGAGCCCCTGGTGTGCAAGAAGATCGCCCAGGAGCGGCTGACGGTCCTCCTGTTCCTGGAGGACTGCATCATCACCGCCTGCCAGGAGGGCCTCATCTGCACCTGGGCCCGGCCGGGCAAGGCGGTGAGTCGGCCGCACCGGCCTATCCGGGACCTGGGACTCGGGGAGAGCAGTTTGTCACGAGCACAGCCTCTAGCCCGTAGGGTGAGGGGCAGCCATGCCATCTTAGTGTCTCAGAGCAGGCCCTGCCACATCTCACGCTAGGTCTAGAACCCTTGGCAGCCGTCCACACGGTCAGGCAGAAGAGAGCGGGGTGTGGTAGGGACCATGGCCAGCTACCAGAAGGGCAGCCACTGGGCCCAGCACAGCCCGGTCTTGCCACTTGTTCCTTGAAGCCAGATCCGTATTTCTGTGGAAAATGTGATTTTTCAATGATGAAACTGGATACTGCGGGTCAAGTTCTGTGGGCAAGACTGAGCCTTGGGCTCGCCCTCCAGCCTGGCCCTGGCGTATGAGCCCGGTGCTGGAGGCACAGGCGGGAATACCAGGCTCCGGTCCAGTTCTGCACGTCTCCCTGTGTGACTTCGGCCAGGTCCCTGCCCCTCTCACCTCTTAGGACGGGGAGGCTTGAAGATGGGCAGTAGGCGGTCGATGTGCCCGTCCTGGGGTGGCCCTGGGGCTCGGGGTGGAGCACAGGCCGGGCGCCTGTAACCTTGGAGCTGTGGACTCTGATGTTTCGGCTCCTCGGGTCTGGGCTTGGCGCCCAGCATGTCCCATCTGAGGGCTGTGGCTTGGTTCCTTGGCAGGTTTGGGATCATAGCGCCCTGCATCCCTAGAACTCAGAGCCTCATAGGTGAGGTGTTGGGATTTGGGGAGTCTTGTGATTCCTGAAAGAGACCCCTCTATCTCCCTAGTTCACAGACGAGCCCGAGGCCCAGACAGGGGAAGGAAGTTGGCCCAGGTCACCCAGCAAGTCAGTGGTAGAGGTAGGACTGTCCCTGAGTTCTTTCCCCCCCAGAATCTCAGCCCCCCCCAGAAGGGGACCCCAGTTTTCCCCTCTTCCCCACCTCCACCCCTACCCCATCCTCTGCTCAGGATCACCTGAGGACTTCAATTATTGCCTAAAAGTGCTGCCTGCTGGGACGGGGAAGCTAGTTGAGATGGAAGTTCCAGAACCTAGAGCAGCATCCTGGGTGGGGGGTGTCCGGTGGACTGAAGGGCAAGGCCGGGTGGTGGGACCTCAGATGTTCTCTAACCCCTGCTGTCTCCCTCCTCTTCCCAGGGCATCTCCTCCCAACCAGGCAACTCCCCGAGCGGCACAGTGGTGTGAAGCCCTGGATGCTGGGTTCCCTGCCCCGCCTCGCCTCCCAGCCATCACCCTTCCGCTGACCTCACGGATCAACCTGTTAACAAGACTAACCATGATGGATGGACTGCTCTGGTCCCCCGCCCTGCACAATCTGGGGGGCAGAGAGTCCCCCCGGACTGGCCTCGACCCTGGGGGGATGGAGTGGCTCCTGTGGCCTCAGCCTTGTCCCCTCCCACTGCCAAGTACAACGACCCCTTCCTTCCGCTGGAACATCAGTGTTAGCCTCATCCCTGTCCCCAGCATGTGACTGGTCATGGGCGGGGGAGGGAGGAGCTCCCCACCCACAAGAGCCCAGCTCCGCAGTGTGCCCCTCAGTCTGCGGACCCAAACCCCACCTCCCCTGCTGGTGTTCGTGCTTTTGAAAAGTGTTAAGTTATGGAAGCCCCTTGGGGCCCTTCCTGTCCCCAGCACCTCTTATTTATACTAAAGTTCCCTGTTTTCACAGCGTCTCTGAGCCCTTCCTTGCAGGTGTGGCGGGAGTGTGTATGCTTTCACTGCGTGTCCGCTTTTTTTTTTTTTTTTAAGATAAAGTTTATTTAGAAAGTTACAGAGCCCTGGCCAGGTGGCTCGCTTGGTTGAGCATGCAGTGCACTGAAAGATTGCTGGTCTGATCCCGGGTCAGGGCATGGGGTGGGGGGAAGGTGGAGCACATAGCAGCGGATCAGTGTTTCCCTCTCTAAGCTTGTGCTCCAGTGAAGATTAGGAAAAAAAAAAGTAGTAGAACCGAGCCACCTGGGCTGCATGGGCTCAGGAAACAAATTACAGAGGCCAAAGGAGGGCCCTGGAGCTTAGGGAAGGAAGCACTTGAAGATCGGATCGGAGTGGGTGTGCCCTGGGGAGAGCGTGTGCCATCAGTCCACCCAACGGGTGAGCGGGGAGCAGCCAGGCCCTGCCCCCTCCCGCCCTTTTAATAGGAAAAACAAGTGGGAGGAGGGATGTGCTCAGGGCACCAGCCGGCGGTGAGCAGGACCCCTTGGATGGGGGAGAGTCCACCCCCTAAACCCTTGAGGGAGGAGAACCACCGGGGCCCCCTCCCGGAGTCCTCGGTGGGAGTTCGCAGCGTTGCTTGAAAATGCCCGAACCTCCTAAGTCCATGTTACAGGGTCTTCCCAAATGGGGTCTCCCAGGCAGCACCACAGGCCCAGAGGGAGTGCCCTTGAGCGCAGGGCTTGGCCTCCTGCTGCCTCCGGCCTGGCTTGCCCAGCCCGGCTGTCCAGGAGACCGGTTTCCTCCGGGAGGACCGTCCGCCCTGGAAAGGACAACGAGATCCCTCCTGGCCGGCTCTCCTGCTCCGCCCCCCCCCCCCCCAAGTGTTTGTTTCTAATCTTGGCCCTGGCAGGAATGTGGCTGCATGCCGGGCCCAAGGAGCTATTTTGGGGGCTCCTCTGCCTCCCCCAGTCTTTGGCCAGTGTCACCCCTGGGCTTGGCTCCTGAGGGCCTCCCTTCCCAATTCTCTCACCACCCCTTCCCCACCTCCTGCCAAAAAAAAGAGTGTAAAGCAGAAGGCCTGAGGGCTAAATTTAAACTGTCCCAAAGTCTGACTCCCAGCTGAGTCACCCACAAAGCTGTCCTGGCCTCCTGCCCCCCTTCCCAGGCCTCACCCCTTCCTCCTCCCCCCAACTCCGGGGCTTGGGAGGAGTGTTCCAGGTCACTGGCCCTTAATTGGCCCCCTCTGGGGAATGGGAGGGCTCATCTGTGGCCCGTCACACCTGTTGCTTTAGCTTTCCTCTGCACTCCGCCTTTTATTGGGGGGCGGGGTGTTGAATGGTTGAGATTCTCTACCCCCCAGCCTCACACTGAAGCATTCTGGGGGGGCCTGGCTTGTGAGGGGTTAAGGCTGGTAGGCGGGAGGGGGCTGGTCAAGGGGTGGGGAGAAGAGGAGGAGGCCTTTGCAGCCTGCAGAGAGAAGTGGCCAGAGGCCCAGGGGACAGCCAGGGACAGGCGGACATGCAGCCAGGGCCTTGGGGCCTGAACAGGGGCTGCCAGGCCCCGTGACGAGAGGACCCCGAGCCCCTGGCCCGGGGAGGGGGCCATGGTGCTGCCTGCCCGACATGTCAGCCGAGGTGCGGCTGAGGCGGCTCCAGCAGCTGGTGCTGGACCCCGGCTTCCTGGGGCTGGAGCCCCTGCTCGACCTTCTCCTGGGCGTCCACCAGGAGCTGGGTGCCTCCGACCTGGCCCAGGACAAGTATGTGGCCGACTTCTTGCAGTGGGGTGAGTACCTGCCTGCATGCCCCCTCCCCACTGGGAGGTGGGGGTAGGGCAGAGGCAGGGAATGGGATTGGGTGTCGGAGGCTCTTGGAGGGCAGGGCAGACATGGGGAGAGCTTCCTATTCTGGGTCTTGGGGTGACATGCCCCTACCCCTGTGCCACTCTTGCCGGGCAGAGTGGGGTCAGCAGAGGCCAGGGCAACCATGACTCAGAACCATGACTTGGGAGCCATGGTAGGCTGGGCGGGAACAGCCCCCCATGGCCCCCTGCACCCCTACCCCCCAGTCCAGGCCTAGGGACATGCTGGGACTCCTGTCTCTTAGGTGCCCGCACACACCAAAATGGGCCCTGTGGCCTCCACCCTGGTTCCCAGAGCAAGGGGCTTGCACAGAGACAGGATGGGGCAGCTGCCAGGGGCGCGGTCCATGGGCAGGTGTTAGGCGCCAGCCTCTCCAGCTGCCCCAACAGGTGCCCAGGCACTGACAGGCTCAGTGACTCAGGCAGGCCCTAGGGGACAACCAGCTCGAGACAGGAGCCTCCCTGTCCCCCGTCTATCCCCAGGAGGAGGAACCGCCCATCCATTTTGGTCTCTTTTAGTCTGCAGGGACAGCCTTCACTCCAGCACCACCGACCCGTTCAATCTGCTTCATGACCTCCGTCCTCCGCTTCTCCCGGAAGGCCCCTTCCAGCGAAGTCTTACGCCAGATTAGGTCCCATCCTCCACAGGGAAGATGCTTGAACCTCCGCCTCCTGCCTCGCCTGTCCCCACCCTCTCCTGGCCCGGGACTCAGGCTCACTGGGGCCTCTGTCTCTGTGACAGTCTGTCCCTCCACGGCCTATCCCTCCATGGCCTGTCCCTCCACGGCCTGTCCCTCCACGGCTTGCTCTGGGTCCTTAGGCTCCCTCTGTCCCTGGGTTTCCTCTTCCTGTCTTCTCCCGCCCCTTCTTTCCTTGTGTCCATCTCTTCGGAACCAGGCCCTGCTCCTCTCCTTCTGCCTCCCAATTCGCAGATGGGAAGGTGGAGGTCAGGGGCCAGGCCATTCAGCTCTGGAAGAACCTTACCCCCACCCCCCCAGCCCCTTAGCAACTCTCGTGGACGCCTTTTTGCAGGGGATGAAGTTTGACCTGCGGGGTAAACTGAGACCTGTGGTGGGGGCAGGGGTCCGGCTCCCCTGGGAGGAGCACTCCTTTTGTGGCCCGAGCAGTGCCCTGTGGCCCCTCCCCTGCGGGCTTGGGCGGGGGAGGGGGCCTGGGTTCCCACTGCCTTAAAAGGGCTCAATGTCTTGGCTCTCTCCTCCCTCCCCAATCCTGGGCCCTGGCTGGTTCTTCCCTGCTGGCCCACTCTCCCCGAACCCCATCTGGACTCCTCTCTCCCCTCCATAACCACTGTATCTCCCCGCATTCCTACTCACCCCCGTCCTCTCTCCACCCCACCCCGAGGTCTCCAATGGCTTCCACCCCTGGGGGTCTAGGCCTCCCTCTCCCAAGTCCTGAGTCTCCTGCCTCCCCCCCCCCCAGTCCCCCCTCCCCCCTCTATTCCCACACTGCCCCGTTAGCGTTCCTAGCTGTAGGAACTTGGGCAAAGGAGTTCACCTGTCGGAGCCTTGCGTCCCCGTCTGTAAATGGGGGAGAACAGAGCGCTGCTCCTGGATTGCAAGGACTGAGAACACACGTGAACTGGGCCTGGAGCCCTGGATGCGGGTCCACCATGGCCTTGTCCCCTCTTCAGTTCCTTCTCCCGGCCCCGCCCCCCAAGTCACTGTTTCCCTAGGTGTGGTCCAAGAGCCACCTGCCTCTGAGCCTAGAGGGACTGGGTAAAGCTGCATGTTCGGACCCTTCTCCCATCACCCCAATTGGGGTGGGGGCCCAGGGAGCTAGAACTGGCTCATCCTCCCTGTTTCGGGGCCTCCTTTCTGCAGACTGTGTCCCCGGACCCCACCCCTGCTCCCACAGAGCCCTGACCCCATGCCTGGTCCCAAAAAGGGGTTCCCAGGCCTCCCACTTCTGTAGGAGGGCAGTTTTGCACCCCCAAACCTCACCCAGTGCTTATGTGGGGAAGCCTTGGGAGGCAAACAGTCATAAAGGGAAGGCCAAGAGAAGGGGAGGTTGAGAGTGAGGGTCAGAGAGGGGAGACTGAGGAACAGTGTGTGGGACTTCCTCCTCGTCTCCACTGTCAGTCCCGGTGACCCTCCCCTCGGTTCTCACCGCCCCGCCCCCAGTGGAGCCCATCGCGGCGAGGCTTAAGGAGGCCCGGCTGCAGAGGGAGGACTTCGAGATCCTGAAGGTGATCGGACGCGGGGCGTTCAGCGAGGTGAGCCCTGCGCCACAGCCGGAGCCCAGCCTTGCCCTGCCTTAGGCAGGTCCCAGGACTGGGGGCGGGGCCTTAGAAATTGATGAATGAGTTTAGAGCCTAAAACCAGCAGGGGCGGGGCTTAAGGACAATGGGCGTGGCGCGGTGGGCGGGGTCTCGGTGGAGTCCTGTCTGGGCGATGGGAGTTCCTCCCCGCCGCCACCCCAGCCCCCCCGTGTCGGCCTTCAGGTCGCGGTCGTGAAGATGAAGCAGACGGGCCAGGTGTACGCCATGAAGATCATGAACAAGTGGGACATGCTGAAGAGAGGCGAGGTGAGGCCGTGCCGGCTGTGCTGGGCGCGAAGGCCTCCCCGCAACCCCCAGCCCCCCAACCGCTTCAGCGCCTCCCGCTGCCCCGCAGGTGTCGTGCTTCCGCGAAGAGCGGGACGTGCTGGTGAACGGGGACCGGCGCTGGATCACGCAGCTGCACTTCGCCTTCCAGGACGAGAACTACCTGGTGAGTCCCGGCCGGGCGACTGGAGGGACGCACCTCCACCCCAAGGCTGTCAATCAAGGAGGCGGGCAGGGAGCGGTTTTAGGGTGGGGAGCCCTGTGGTAGGAATAGGCTTCCTTTCCCGGGATGGCGGGCGTTCCCAGGCCGATTCTGGGGGCCCTATAAAGCTGCGCCTTGGGGGGACCTTACCTGGAATGGGAGAGCCCTGCGGAGTCTGAGCGGGGGGTCTGGGGAGCTGTGCACTCTGGGCACCACCTCTGGGGCTCCCTTGGGGCTCCCGCTGCGGGATCTCTGGGAGTCTGTCCAGGGCTATCAGCCAGGTCACCCCGGGGCTTACTGACCCCGCGACACGCCCCCTCCAGTACCTGGTCATGGAGTACTACGTGGGCGGGGACCTGCTGACGCTGCTGAGCAAGTTTGGGGAGCGGATCCCGGCCGAGATGGCGCGCTTCTACCTGGCGGAGATTGTCATGGCCATAGACTCGGTGCACCGGCTGGGCTATGTGCACAGGTGGGCGCCTCAGGGGCGGAGGGGGGGCCTGGACAAATGTTGGAGCCCAGAGGGGGCAGCGCCTGCAGAGGGACCTGGAGACAGAGCCTGAGGGCAAGGCCGGGAGGCTTGGGAGTTAGAGTCTCTAGTCCCTAAGAGAACGGGGCCTGAGCCTGGTGAGAGGGTGGGAGGGAGGCTCACCTACCCCCTCCGCTCCCACCTTCCGCTGGGCAGGGACATCAAACCCGACAACATCCTGCTCGACCGCTGCGGCCACATCCGCTTGGCCGACTTCGGTTCCTGCCTCAAGTTGCGGGCTGAGGGAATGGTGAGCGGTGCGCCCGCCGGTGCCACCAATGAGGGCTGGGGTGGGGGCGGATGCGGTGCGGAGTGCGGGGCGGGCTGACGCGCGTTGGCAGAGCCAGGCCTGGATTTGGGGGGCGAAGGAGGAGGAGGCGACTCGGGCCAGGCTGGCTGAGTTAGGACAGGCAGGGGGCGGGGGCAGGCGCTGGGCGTGGCTAGAAGGAGGCGGGGCCAGGGCTCAGAGGGGCGGGGCTGAGCCCAACTCCGATTCTGTTGACTCAGGTTCGGTCGCTGGTGGCTGTGGGCACCCCCGACTACTTGTCCCCCGAGATCTTGCAGGCCGTGGGCGGCGGGCCGGGGACGGGCAGCTACGGCCCCGAGTGTGACTGGTGGGCCCTGGCGTGTTCGCCTATGAGATGTTCTACGGGCAGACGCCCTTCTACGCCGACTCCACGGCCGAGACCTACGGCAAGATCGTGCACTACAAGGTGAGCGGAGCCCCCGGAGCCCCGATCCCTCTGCGCCTGCGCCCAGGCTGACATCCCCGCCCTCCCGCCCCCTCGGAGCAGGAGCACCTTTCCCTACCGCTGGCGGATGCAGGAGTCCCCGAGGAGGCCCGCGACCTCATCCAGCGGCTGCTGTGTCCCCCGGAGACGCGGCTGGGCCGGAATGGAGCAGGCGATTTCCAGAAGCATCCTTTCTTCTTCGGCCTCGATTGGGATGGTCTCCGAGACAGCGTGCCTCCGTTTACTCCGGATTTTGAGGGGGCCACCGACACGTGCAACTTCGATGTGGTGGAAGACGGGCTCACTGCCATGGTGAGCGGGGGCGGGGTAGGTACCTGCGACCCCCGCTCCCCTCATCCCTTCTCCATTAAGTTCGGGCAACGACAGTGCCCGCCTCCTGGGGGCCTGACATCATTTCTTCCCGTGAACAACTGCTCTGTGCCTGTCCAGGGCTGGGGAGCCCAGCGGTGGCCTAGACTCGCAGTCCAATGGGGGACACAGACTTGTCCCCAGATGATGACACCCCAGAGCAATCAGGGCTGGGGTGAAGGATGAGGTGGAAGGCAGGAAAGCACCACAGAAAAATCTCCCTCCCTGAGGCCGCCGCCCTCTCGAGTTACACAAGCTGCCTTGGCCCTTGGTCAGCCCGGTGCCCTGTGCTGGGCACTGCCCTGGTCCCGCAGCCACTTCCGTTTGGAGAAGTAGATACGGCTACTGTGGCGAACACCTTGAGGGAAACAGGACACCATGAATGACGGAGGGACCCTTTATATAGGCCCTAAGTAAGGGTGGGTTTGGGGGCAAATTTAAGTTGAGACGTAAGGGGCGAGGGGCCAGCCTCCTGTCTGATTCTCTTGTATTAGGAGACGCTGTCAGACATGCGGGAAGGCATGCCGCTGGGGGTCCACCTGCCTTTTGTGGGCTACTCCTACTCCTGCATGGCCCTCAGGTAAGAGCTGCCCCTGTGGCTTGTGAGGAGGCTGGGGGTGCAGGAGGCTGCGCAGGGTTACAGTATCCGGGCCCATCAGCGCCCAGTAGAATTGCAGGATCAGTCTTGGAACCTTACTGACTTGGGACCAAGGGCTCTTAGGAACCCAGAGCTGTAGGGCCTTAAATCTCAGACCACAGTACTTTGAAATGTTAAGATTCAATTGTAAAACCTCAGAGCCACTTTTAGATTTCTAGTACAGAGTCATGGGACCTCAGAATCCTAGAAAGCAAAATGTTTAGAATTTTAAAACCAATCTTAGAACAACACAAATTCAATGCATCACTCACATAAAGCCTTTTGAAAACATTAATTCCAGCCCTTGCCGGGTGGCTCAGTTGGTTAGTGCTGCCCCGATATACCTAGGTTGTGGGTTCAATCCCTGGTCAGTGCTCATACACAAATCAACCAATGACAGCATAAATAAGTGGAACAACAAATCGATGTTTCTCTCTCTTTCTTCGCTCTAAAATCAATCAATCAATAAAAAATAAAACAGGAAGCCCACTAATAATACATTGCTTGGCATTAGTGAATTATATGTGGATAAGAAAAAGGAAGCCCATCATCAGCGATGGCCCCTGGCTCATGGGTACACACACATTTTTAACCCCGAGAACCTGCTGCATTCCAGCCTATTTTGTTACCGACAATGTATTACCAACACCATTGGTTATGAATGAACCACAACCTGATCCTGACCCGCTGTGTATCCTCTCCGTATTGGGCAGGGCAGGACTCAGTTAGCCTGTCCTCGGCCCTCAGCCAGGCCGCATGAAGCACAGGCTGGTCCAGGTGCATGTGCCGATGGTTAGGTCCCTGAACACAGTTCCACGAGGGGCTGTCGGACTGGGAGGAACACCTGCTTTTACTGCCACTTAGTATGTGGGGAGCGTCTGTGTCCCGCCCCGTAGCTGGGCGTGGGGGCGTGTGCTGAGGTCTAGAGTCACAGTCCTGGGATCCACACACAGTCCTAAGGCTCTACCTTTGGAGGTGGGCAGTGTTCCACTCGGTGGGTCGCCTCACTGTCCTGAGGCCTAAGGAGAGGCGTCTGCAAAGGGCACACGGAGAGGGAGGAGATGAGTGGGCCCTAGGACATGGGTGTTGTTCCCCGAGTTCCCACAGAAGGTGCAGAGGGCGGCTCCCAGGGGCCCGAGGCCATGCAAAGGGCAGCCTTTTTCCTTTCCAAGAGGAGGACCTGTCACACCAATTTAGCAACTTGTTCCCTTCACTCTGCCCCCCACCCCTCCTCAAGCCACGGGTCTTTGGATCTAGCTGCCCCATGACCAGAGGTTAGGGAGTCCTGGCTCTCTCCCCCTCGCCCTCTCCCTCTCCCCAGGGACGATGAGGTCCAGGGCCCCATGCCCATGGAACTGGAGGCCGAGCCGTTGCCTGAGCCACCTGTGCAAGAGCCCAGCCTGGAGCCCAGGGTGCCCCCACCGGAGGAAAAGGTGAGTTGTTGGAGGAAAGGCAAAGATTTCCAGGGTAGCGCGTGCCATGGAGCACTAAGCCCTCTGAGAGCTGACTCACAGAGACGGAAAATGTGTTACTTCCGTCAGAGACGACCAGAGGGCATTGAGTGTGTGTGCAGGGGACTCTCTGGGCAGGGGAAGCCCTGCAGAAGGAGGGGGACCACCCATGGGAAGGAAAGTGCCCACTGGTTAGCAGAGAAGAGTTTCAGGGCAAAGGCCCTGAGGTGGGAACCTAGCTGGTTTGTTCTCTGACCCTGAAAGGAGGGTATTGAAGCTGAACTGTTTCCAGCGGAAAGGGGGTGAAGAGTGAGGGGAGGGAGGCTGCAGAGGTCAAACCCAACCAATCAAACCCAAACAGGGCCTTCTGGTGCAGCAGGCCTTCTTCTGCCTGGCCTCGAGGAGCTGGAGAAGTTTCTGAGCCAGGCTGCAACGTGGTCCAGTTGATTTAGTATTTTAGGAACAGCTCTTTGGTTCCTGAAAGAAGGTGGATGGAAGTTGGAGCCCATGAAAG